AAAAAAAAAAAAATATATATATATATATATATATATATAATATATATATATTACATATATATTTTAATTTCAATCTTAATAGATTTGTATAGTTTTCTTTTCTCTATACAGTCTAAGATATGGTTTCTGAAATTCTTAAATTTGATGGAAATCTTCAGTTTGAAGCTCTTATGTATATTTTAGTGTAGAAAAGATGGAAAAGAGAAAATGCTCAGATATGAAACTTTTTGTAGATGTATTTAGAGCACTTAAAATGAACATTGGTTACTTTTTAGTGATTAAAAACTAGTTAGAGCTGATTATAGAAATTACCAGAGGTGTGTGTTTACTTTTTTTTTTTTTTTAAACTGGGGATTGAATGTAGGGGTAATCTACTACATCCCAAGCCCTTTTTATTTTGAGACAGGGTGTCTCTAAATTGCCAGGTTTTATAAATTTTTTTTTCTGTCATAGAAAATATTTAGGAAGTGTTTTTCAATAATATTCTTCTTAATACAAAAGACTAGGGTTTCATATCCCTCTAGTTCAAGGTATACTTTGACTCTGCATCCTTGTGAAATTGCTTGCTTTTTAGTGTATTCTTGACTCGCTTATGCAAATGCAATGTGTCTTTGCATTTATTATTTCTTAAGAAATTTGCATTATTTTAATGTATTTCATGTTTCGCATGTTTTATATTTGGCATATATTCATTTGCTTATGTTCTATTTTGTTTTCCTTTATAGTACATTGCTACGTTTAGCAGATGTCCTCTGGAATTCTGAAATTCCTCTTTTGATCTGTAGGACATATGGACTGGTTGGTTATATGAGGATCATTATAAAAGAACATCCAGGTAAAATTGTTGAGCATATGGGGCTTGCTATTGGTTGCTTTAGTTATGGTTTAGAAACTTGATAATTTAGAGAGTCTATTTTAAATATGAAGTAAATTTGTAGCAGCACAAATTATATTTATATTAGTTATATTATTTATAGGTTCAAAGTGGCAGTCTGACTCAATATGCTTGTTTTTTCCCCAGTATGCTTTAATCTACTATTGCTTTACATAGCGTCACAGAATGATACAAAGCAGAGATACCATTGTATATCTGCTGCTTGTTAAGGAGGTCCAGCAATTATACAAGTACCTAAATTTTTTTTTGCCCCCCAACCCACATAGGGCATGTGTGGCTGCGACAAGAGATATGTGAATCACCCTGATATGTGAATCACCCTGACACAAAGAAGACACACCACCTTTTCTCCTACCAATTGTCTTCTTTTTTTTTTTTTAGTACTAGAAATTGATCCTAGGATTTTGCACTTGCTAGGCAAGTACTCTGCCACTGGGCTACATCTGCAGCCCAGCACCAACCTTTTATTCCATTCTCCTGCAGTTTTCCCAGTTTATGAGCAATTCCATATGACAAGGAAGGCATTTACCTGACTATTGTTTCCAAGGAAACAATATTATATGAGACCAAAATAATTCATAGGTAGGCTTACATTGGTTCAGGGCTGATCTTAGCCCTTTACTTATAAAAATTGTAACCTTAGATTTTCATAAAATTTTCTTTTAGTGCTCATGCAATGTTCCATATTTACTCAAGAAAATGTTTTAATCCTGTGCCAATTGTGTGCCCATCTGTGGGCAGTTAGGGAGTGATTTGTTGATGGTGGCTATTTAAAAGTTACAAGTGGGAGAATGACAGGGTAAAATTTTTTATTTTAAATGAATCACTCTGAAGTTATGGGGAATGAATGGGCTTAAAGGGGGCAAAGATTGGAGACAGGGATTGATGTTTGTAAATGTGTGTGTGTGTGTGTGTGTGTGTGTGTGTATTTATAGATGGTATTGGAGATTGAACCCAGGATGCTCAAACACTGTGCTATATCCCCACCTTTTAAAAAAATTCTTTATTCAGGTTCTAAGTTGCTGAGGATAGCCTCAATTTGTGATCCTTCTGCCTCACCCTCCCAAGTCACTGAAATTACAGGCATTGCTGTCAGTGAATTTCCAGTGGTCTAGGAAAGGGAGAGAGAGACAATGAGAACCCCTGAACTTAGGGAAGATGTTATAGGGTAGAGAAGAGGGAAATAGGAGGTAAATAATAATGAAGGTTAACATTGCTAGTTGTGTGCCTGCCTTCATATGGATTATTTCATTTACTCTTTCTAAAACCTTTATGAAATAGAGTTTTTTATAATTGAGACACAGATTGTTATTTGCCTAAGTTCACATAGCTAAGCTATCAAGTGACAAAATTGTACCTTGTTCTAAACATGCACTGAAATTGAACACTCTTGTACTTCCCCACGTAGAGAGCAGTGTACAAAGTGAGGTTAGGAAGTGGGTAGCAACTGATGTTGGGGCCAAGGAAACAAAAACTCAAGATGACCATTGGGTTTCTAGGGAAGAGACATAGGTAGATAGTAATGTTATCTGATTTTTAAGACTACAAGAGGGGCAAGAGTAGGTTGTCAGGTATTTGTACATATACATTGTCAGTTTTGAGTTTTTTTAGTCATCATAACAAATTCTGTTCTAAAGGAATCTTGGTTTTACTTTATTAAAATTTATATTCCACTTAAAATTTGTGCATTTTACTATTTATAAATTGTGATCTCCAGAGCTGGGTTTGTGGCTTAGTGTTAGAGTGTTCACCTAGCACACATGAGGCACTGGGTTCAAACCTCACCACCACATAAAAATGAAATAAAGAAATTGTGTCCACCTAAAACTAAAAAATTAATATTTAAAAAAAAATTGTGACCTCCATAACATGGTGAAAAAAAATCTGTAGGTTCTATGACCATTTGAAAATTATAGATTTCTTAAGTTCTTATAAAGAATGAAGTTTTTCTTTTTGGATTATTTGTTTCACAGTAATAGAATCTCATCCAGATAATGCATTAGAAGATCTACGACTGGATAAGCCATTTCCTGAACTGAGAGAACATTTTCAGTCTTATGATTTAGATCACATGGAAAAAAAGGTTGGTTAGTATTTATAAGGTTAGTATGTATAACCTTACATTTATAGGTAGACTTAAGACTTTTTTTTTAATATAAGGTTTTTGAATTATACCAATGTGAGACAATACTATAAACCTCCATATTCCTGACATCCAGATCACACAATAACATTTTATCTTACTTGTTACCAATAAATTTATTTTCCACAAAATTTAAAAAAACAAAAAACTTCTTTATTGAAGAAAAGTACATAAACTGAACATCTTTGTAATTACCACCTAAGTCAAGAAATGGGACATTAACATCCCAGAAGTCCTCTGGGTTGGGGTTGTAGCTCAGTGGTAAAGAACTTGCCTAGCGTGGCTGAGGCACTGGGTTTGATCCTTAGCACCACATAAAAATAAGCAAAGGTATTGTGTCTTATCTACAATTAAAAAAAAAAAAAAAATCCCAGAAGGCCTCTTCATAACCCTTTCCTAAATAAATATTTTTTAAAAATAGTTTGAATTTGGAGTACGTTTGTAGAAATTGAGCCTCTTGAGACTTATTTTTAGTGTTTGAAAATTACCAAGGAAACTATATAATATTTATAACAGACTATATAATTTAAAGAACATATAATTTAAAGAACTATATAATTTAAAGAACACCTACATATTAATTAAAATGTAGGTGTCTATTTGGTTCATCAAAAAATACAGAGAATATTCCATTTTCTTAGTCTAGGATTGGGATCTGAAATCGAGATTTGAACTGTTGTTGAGCTGCAGCTTCTGAAGCTTTTTTCTTGCTAGAAAAACAGGAACATAATACCTACCTGACATACAAGGGGTTACATTGGACACGGCCTCTAAAAAAAATTTCTAAAGTAGCCAGGCATCCAAGTACACGTTTTATGTTTCTCAGGAAGTTGAGGCAGGAGGATCACAAGTTTGAGTCCAGTCTCAGCAATTAATTGAGGCCCTAGGCAACTTAGTGAGACCCGGTCTCAAAGTAAACAGGGTACCATCAATCAATCAAATCAATCAATCAATCAATAAATATTGTTGAAAACAAGATGGTAGAATAAAGACTTGATATTAACTAATACTGATATTTTCTTTGATTTTTCTCTTATTTTTAGGACCATAGCCATACTCCTTGGATTGTGATCGTAGCTAAATATCTAGCACAGTGGTATAGTGAAGTATGTCCTTTTTTAAAAAAAAAAAAAAAAAATTCCGTATGTGACTAATTTCTATTTATTATAATGGGTTTCCTTGGAGGGAATGGGAGATTAATTTTTTTCCTCATGGGGTATTAGGGCAGGTGGGAGCTTTTAAATTTAAATCTAACAGTTCCTCCTTTAATATTGATATTTTTATTAACAAATCAAAATTTGAATAGATGTCATTTTGAAACTGGTAGGGGGAATGCATATAGAGGAATGGCCTGCAGTTTCTGTTTTCTATCAAGTGAGCCTCTGATTTCACTGAGGTATATATTTGTCAATGAAATCTCATGGCAAATGGGGGAACTTTAAACTCTCAATTTCCATATTTTGAGTTTTTATAACTAGATTTTTAAAATTTTTAACCAATTTAGACAAATGGACGAATACCTAAAACCTATAAAGAAAAAGAGGACTTCAGAGATTTGATTAGACAAGGTAATATTATGGGATGTGGTTAAGTATTATATAAAGTTTGGGAAGCAAATTGCTTGAAATAGATGTTTAGTGGATTTCTTTTAATACTTTTATCAGATGATATCATCAGAAGTTTTATTTTACTTTTCCTCTGGGGAGGTGAAGGAGCCCATTCTTTGTATAGTTTAAGGGAGGACAAATGATAAGTCATATTTTTACTTAAGGTTTGATATTCTAATTCTCCCTTCAGACTCTGACAGGATTATTTCTGTGGTGTTGGTGGGGGGGTGGACAGGAGTGAGAAGAAAAGGGCTATTGTTTGTTAACCATTTCCTATTTTAATAGGAATTTTAAAGAATGAGAATGGAGCTCCAGAAGATGAAGAGAATTTTGAAGAAGCTATTAAAAATGTGAATACAGCACTAAATACAACTCAGGTATTAAAAGAATCACAGAGTAATTCATATATGAAAGATGTTTTCCCTACTCAGAAGGCTGAGACAGGAGGATTGCAAGTTTGAGGCCAGCCAGGCAACTTAAACCCTGTCTGGGGAAAAAAAAAAAAACCATCTGGGGATGTAGCTCAATGGTAGAGTACTACTGAACTTAATCCCTGTTACTGTAAAAGAAGAAAAAAAGGATAGAAAAAACGGTTTCCCAAAGTCCTCAGATGTAAAAGTTGATTATAAACAATTTATTTAATTAATATTTCCTAAATGTATAGTTAAAATATCTATAACACAACTTGAGGCTTGTTTTAATAAAAATTTTGTGGGTTGGTGGTATAACTCAGTGGTAGAACACTTGCCTAGCATGTGGGAGGCCCTGGGTTCAATCTCCAGCATCACAGGGACAAAGGGAAAAAAAAGATTTTGTATTGTACTTGTTAAAATGTTATGTGCATATTTTATCATTTAATAGTGATAAAAACATCCATACAATAACATATAAATTATGTGAAGTATATAATTTGTGAATATCAATCGTTTTGGGGTAGGGATTATATGACTAAGGTGGTATTTTGCTGGTCCAAAATGGTGTTGCCTGAAGAGTTAGATTTTGTTACCCTGCATTTTCTTTCTTCTTTTTTTTTTCTTTAACTTTATTTTTTATTTAGTTATTTTTATGTGGTGCTGAGGATTGAACCCAGGGCCTTGCACGTGTGAGGCGAGAGCTCTACAGCTGAGCTATAACCCCACCCCCTACTCTGCATTTTCTTCTGACAGTAATTAGTTGGATATAATGGAATATGTTTTAAATAACATTATAGACTTTAAAAATTATTTGGAGGATAACTTAGGGGCGTTTTGTTTTGCTCTTTTATTGTTGAAGTCTGGCTTGTGAAGTTTTTGGGAATCTTTGGAATGACAAACCTGCTAAATTAAGTTAGAATTTTCTTATAGTTTAAAACAGCAAAATTGCTGCTTTTCAGCATTAGGAAGGTCCTTAAACTATCATTGCAGACTTTTTGAAGACAATGAAACAGTGTTGCTGAGTGATTAAAGTTTATGCTTTGTGAATCAATATTCTTGAGTAAAGGAAATTTTCTATTTCCTTTTTGGTGGCAGGTGGGTACAGAGGATTGAACTCAGGGGCACTCAACCACTGAGTCACATCCCCAGCCCTATTTTGTATTTTATTTAGAGACAGGGTCTCACTGAGTGGCTTAGTGTCTTGCTTTTGCTGAGGCTGGCTTTGAA